AGGTGAGCATGTGACAAACCTATATGCTCAAAACCAATGAAAGCTACACAACATTTTTTCTAATGATGTTGAGCCAACACTCAATGCTAAATACAGCTTGGATAGATGTTTGGTCCTGTGTATAGAATAAAGATTTAATTACAGTAACTCCTGAGTTCTCTCTTTTTACAAGAGAATATAAAAAAGACTCATTTATAGCATATGAAGACCCTTACTGCATGGAAAAATACGAAATACGTAGAAGGTAAGGAAAACAAGAAATTGAAGATAAGACAGTATAGAGGAAATAAGAAATGATTTTTCAATTCACGCAGTCCAGTCACCATTTTTGTATAGGCAGAGAGAAAGGAAAAACTCTATACTGGTGCTACCTGGCTCTGCCTAAGAGGCTGCTGCTTTTAACTCCAGGGTATGGCTTCCTAGTTCAAAGCCCTACTACAACTGCATGCTCTGCTTGCTTTGTCAGTACAGAACATAACAGGGCCTACCATGAGAACTGGGTCACATTACCAGCACTCCTGTAAGTTGCAAGAATTCCTAACTTTCCTTACCAGGTTTTTACAACTTCTCTGTAGAGGAGCTGTTTTGTCTAGCCACGTGGTTCTGAAAGCAATAAAACTGGCAACAAACTCTCAGTGTCCTAAGTTGAAGGAGTCAGGAGCAGCAAAACACATTTCTTAAGTATGGCATTTAAAAAAAAAAAGTGAATTTCCAACAGATTTTGTACTTGTTTGCTTCTATGCCTGACCAAGATAATCAAGACAATCATTTATGATAATGCCACTTACAGTCTTAATATGGAAATTAGTTATTTCTGCATTAAGACTTAAAATTCTATGAAAACTCATGCTGTATTTCAACTATTCTCTTAGAGTTTCAGCTCTTAGATACAAATAATAACCAACTGAAAACCGAATGTGAAAGCAACTTCCATAGCATAATAAAAACAGCTTGGGTAAGTAACCCAAGTCAGAAAACAATGGAACAACAAAAACATGTACGTGCCTTTAAATTCATGGTGTAAGAGAGAACTTCAGCACTTGAGATTGGCTTTAACAAAATGGAAACCTTCTGTCAACTCCATCTGAGGACCAACTCTGCTTTTTTATGATTTAGGCTAGTAACACAGCACAGGCTTCCATTTCTGTAGCTGTACACTTGCAGATACATTCCAGACCTACACACTTCACTTTCCTAGTTAATCCAGGTCAGTTACTGGTCACATAGGTATAAGGAAGTACAAAAAAAAATATCCAACCTCCGAACCAGAATAAAATACCCATGCAACCTTCCTACATACTTTGAAGAACTTCTCTTTACCTCTTTTAAAGGGTAGTCCCAATGGTGGGAGCCTGGGAGCCTTGTCAAAGGGGACTGAACTTGGACATCCTCTGACTTGGTGTTTGGTTTCTTCTTTGGGATACGAGACTGAAAATAGAGGATGTTACACACATGATAAAACTTAATCTGCTGGTGCTATGAGCTGACTTACTGCCAGGTACGAAGTTCTTGTAACCATGGGACAAAAAGTTGCAAGTAAAGCACTGACCTTTGACTTGAACAATACATTCTCATTGATGCTTCATCATAAATCAAGTCATACCACATGAGGAGCTAGTTTTAACAGATGAGATGTCTTAAAAAAAAAACACAGGAAGACCCCTCATATTTCATTAACTTTACAATGACCTCAACTACATGCCCAAGAGATGAAAACAAATCTACTGGCACTGAGTTTTCTCACTGCCCTCTAGTTTACGTACACTATAGATTAACCCTCACGTATCAGTTTAAAGAACAATAAAGAAAAAACAAAATAGCTGAACCATATGAGGTTTGCTCACCCAAAAAAAAGAGCATTTATATCTTGTAATAGTATCAGTGCTTTAGTATGATTATTTAGAATTGGTACTCAAAATACTATCAGCTGTTGTCATTCCCAACCTCTGCAAAAATGAAACTGGTATTTCAAATTTAAGTACTGAAGAGGAAGCATTTATTAAATCTCAGTTTACCAGTTCAAAAAAAAAGTACGTAGGAAAAAATTTATTGGCATTCAAAACAAAAATAATCAAGCTGAATTGCTGCAAGTTCATCCAGACAAGAAAAGTGTTACATTTTCTATCAAGTTGATTAAACCCATTAAATAATCTCAGCTAAACACAAGAATGGAAGCCTTGACATTTCTCCAGGTATCCTGAGATGTAAAGCCTTACCACTGCAAATATGACCAGATTCATGTGCATCAGCAATGGAATGCAGTGCTGATACCTTTCACAGGATCAGTATGTCAGCCAAGAAAAGGTTGAAGCTACTCCGTAAGATGGCTACTGCAAAATGCATTAATGAATTGAGTTTGATGGATGCCAGATGTCCTACCTTGCAACATGAAAGGACAAGTAAGGACTTTAGAAGAATAAGGCTAAACTTAATTAACAGAATCTGCATTCATCAGCTCCATATGTAGTCTTTCAGATCATAACTGAAGTACATGGTATCACCAATGAGATAATCCTTCAATTCTGTAATTTGAACTGAGAGTGCTCTTATTTTTCTCTTTAACTTCTTTGAAACAAAAACATATATATTTTTAGTGAACTTTCAGGCCTGAATTTCTATACTGTACCTCAACCTGCTTCTTATAGTCAAATACAATACCAGATTCCTTAAATTATAAAGGACGTAAGTGTAATAATACACAGGCATCAACTTTAAAGGAAAGTATCTCCCCTACCCTTCAATGAATTTTTAAGGATGGAAAAGATAATTTTTCATAATCAAAAATCTCTACAGTTAGGGGGCTTGTTTATTTAGAGAAATGGTTTACAAACTTCTCCTCTTCCAACCTGTGTATCAGCAGCAAATTCCTTGCTTCTGAATGCCACAGAAACCACTAGTCAGGCAACAGGTTATAAGCTTTGTGACAGCACGTAATTGAAAAAAAATTTAATATACATTTCATGTTACTGAGGTGCGGATGACCACTGTAATAATACAACATTGAGAACAGGTTAAGTCAGACTCAGAAAACAGAAAAAAAACAGATGGACAGACAGAAAGGGATAAAAAGCATAAGATATGTTCATCAGCAACATTTCCACCTCACTGTACGTTATTCTGTAAACGTTTGCACTTGTTAAGATCTTGGTTAGTCATGGCCACAAATAACTTCTGGAACAAGCACAAAGTGAACAGGGACCCAACACAGGTCTGAATTTATGGCAATTGCAACGTATGCAAGTTGCATCAGCTTTCCTCTATGAGAAAGGGGCTGAATCAATGTATACATGCGCATATGCATTTAGCAGGTTGCTCATCCCAACCAGCAGTACTTTTTAGGATGTTCAGAGCAGTAGGAGCAAGGGTCAGAAATCATGTGTAAACAAGGCACTGGAAAGGGCTTCATTTCCAAGCCACCAGGCAGACCTTACCCGATCAAACCAGCTGCTGTGCCCTACAATTTGTTTTCATGAGTGCTGCCATTACGAGAAACTACTATTAACATAGATATTTTAGAAAACACTAGCATACAGTGTCTCTGAACACATCTCTGCAGAAAACCAGTTATGTGGCTCTTCCTCTTACTTAATATTTTAGATGTTGCTTGGAACTTAATGCTGCCCTGAAGAGCATGTTTATGTTAAATCGGAGGTTAACCCTTTTGTGTATTAGTGTGTTCAGCAGCAGACATTGGTACTGAAGGCTGCTACATAAACCAGTTCTCAGAAAAGAGATTCCAGAGAAGTGAAAGCAGGACCACTAGCGAATGAATCTGGTTAACAAACACATCAGGACACACTAGGATAGCCATAGGCTGAAAGCCTATGTTGCATGTTGTAAATTGTACGACAACTTACATTGACTTGACTTGAAGATGACGTTCTTCCATCCATGACTTGCTTCTGAAAAAAAAATAAAATAAGCTTAGCAAACTGTATTTTATTTATTCAGAGGGAATTAAGATCACAGTAGTAGGTACTAAGTAAAAACGAGAAATTCCTTTTTAAGGAAGCCAGCACAAAGAAATTGACAGGCACTATACAAGAGAGGCACGTGCCTGAGGAGCGCTCTGGATTTTAAGTGCAAAAAGACAAGTTGGCAAAGTTTTCTCTAGATTTGTCTTTAGTGAATACATTTACTGCTTAAATTCACTTATTAGTCACCCCCTTGCCAGAGAATAATTCAGGCTTTGATTACGAAGTGAAAAGGCATCACAGAAAGACATCTGTAATGCTACAACAGCTCTGATAACAATAACAACAAAACTCAAGCGTTTCTGTTAACAGATCAAAGCCTTCCTCAGGGGAAGAGCACCGCTTCACAACTTCCAGCTCTCCAAGGGGTTTATTCTCCCTGTCAATACTCTAAGTGCCTCAAAGAGGCGTCCTACGACCTTCAAACCTCGCCCCTAATCTCCAGACCCCCCAAAAAGCCGGTAACACCCCTTAAGCCAGGCTAGGGGTGTTTCCCCAGCGGCTTCTCCCAGCCGGCGCCCTGCTGTCAGGCAGGGCGAGCAGGCCGAGCGGTGCCGGCCAGGCGGGGACCCGCTGACAGCCCGGGGGTAACGCGGAGCCCCCAGCCCCCAGCCGTGCCCCCATTCCCCGTTCCCCCGCTACGAGCGCGACGGGCGGACACAAGGGGTCGACGGCATTTACTGCGCTCTCCCCTCAGCCTCGCAACCCCTGGCGATTTCGCTTTTGTGGCACAGACACCCCACCTCCCCTCTCCTCCCCGTTGATCCTCCCTCCCCCGGCAGCGGTTCAGGTGCTCGGGCGGCCGCAGCTCCCTCCCCAAGACCCCATCGGGCAGCCCCCGCCCTCCTTGCTGCTCACCCAGGCCCCGGCGCCGCCTTGCGCAGCTCCCCCGGCTGCTTCCGGGCATGGCTCCGCCCGACCCGGGAGAACCGCCCCACAACGGCAGCCCCTTCGCCTCGCCCCCCCCCCCCCGTTTTCGCTTCGCCCCCCCCCCCCCGTTTTCGCCTCGCCCGCCCCCCCCCGTTTTCGCCTCACAGGCGGCCCCTCAGGGCGGTCCCTTCCCGCCACTTCTCCCTCGCACCGCTGCCGGCGGCCTCTCTGGGTTTTAACTTTCTGGCTTATAGCCAAGTGTTAAAGGGAAAAATGAAAATAAAAATAAAAACCAACAGTATATAAATGACGTAGAGCAAGTGACAGCTGCGTGGTTGCACAAATCGGCCTCTGTCCGCCGAACCGATGAGTCGTAATAAAATCAGTAGATCTGGAAATCCGTTACAACAGTTGCAGCACGTGCTGACAAACGCTGAAGGGAGGGAGACAACGCTAACATTTGTGAAAGTACTATAAAAGACTCCTTTTTTTTTTTTTTAAAGTAACATCCAACCAAACAAAACTCGAGTTTAAACTGTATTTTGTTTTACTAATTGCACTTACATCTCCATTTTAGTCAGAATCCTGGAGATGGATTGTTCCCTTCAATCCGTGTGCCTCCCCTGTCACACACACCGCAACCGCTCTCCTACCTCAGCGCTGAAGCCAAAGAAATCCTGCAACTGAACACCACCAAGATCAGCATCCAGCAACGTAACACCCTCAGCTGATGTCTTTGGAAATCCCTTTACAATAAAAACTTTTTTTTTTTTGTTAGCATATCTTCAGAATTGTAACTTTGACATGTAATTTTTTAAAATAATAGCAGCTGTTTCCTCGTGTTATTAATGATTTATATCAAGTAATGGGAAGCTGTGGGGAAAAAAATAGTTTTGACGCTTGTTTACTTTCACATCAAGGAGACTTAGCTTTAATTTATGCTCAGGTGTAAAACATGAGATGGTAACTGGTAACCTGGAAACATCTGAAATACTTAACACTTCAGATGGCCTCAAGAGTCGACAACTGATGTATTTCATAGGCACACCCCAGAATAACGTATAAAAAGAAAGGAAATGTGAATTCACATGGGTGTCCTTTCATATTATGGAGAAATTATTTACACCCCCCAGAGTCAAAAAGATCTGTATCTATGATGATGACAGATTTTACAGGAGAACTCTTGGTAGGTACTACTGAACTTTGCTACAATAATTTTTTACAATAACAAATTACATACTGCTTCTATGATTTATACTCTAGTAGCATTTATAATATGCTAAATGCTGCACAAATACTAACCAAACTTAATGGTGAAACATCTTACGGTCTGAGTAGCAAGATAGTGTTTCTTTGTCTTACCCAACAGTATTGTTTAAAATCAAAACTTATGACGGCTGCCAGAATACACATCCTTGAATACTATGTTTATATATAAACAATTAAACAAGCAGAAGTCAAAACTGATTTAGAAAATAGATTTAGTAAAAAGAAACTCATTTTGCAACTACAACTAAAACAATAAATTACTGTTGTGGCTTAACTCTGTGATATTACAAGAATAAAACGTTAGTCTAGAGAAAACAGTAAGGTTCTAAGGTGCTGTTCATCAAATGAATGCTTTTAAGCAATAACCTAGTTATTGATATTACTAATTGCTTCACAACACTTGAGTTCACACCTTGAATGCAATTTGAGTTCAAATCTTGAATGCAAGTCGTACCTTCACTTTTACATCAAGTGTATTTTTGTGTACTTGCTTCTTGAAATCTTCTGAAAGCCTTCACAATACTCTGTAAAACAGAGATTTAAGTAGGTGTCCAGTGTTACATACACAGGGCTTAATTTGGCATCATATGTTGTTGTTTTGCTTTGGAATTGGAAAAGCATTGCTGTCAGGAGTGGCTTGAAGAGTGTAGTAACTTGGTATTTGTAGTGTGCTGGAAAAATATGCCCTACAGCCTCCTACAGAGGAGGAGAGAGAGAGAGAAGTGCTGGATAGCAAGACAGCCTGTGAGGAAACTGCATTTACCAATTCTTATTTGTTTTAGGATGTTTTCTTTGTGCTTATCTCTTCCCCACAGACATCTTTCCTTAAGCCATGTGCATTTTTCTTACACTTAATTTTTAGGGAAAATAACATGAATATGTCCTTACTAAATACATTTTTATATATATGTCATACACATAAATAATATGTATAATCACATTTATATGGTATAGTTTATATATTATTGAATCTGCTTTTTATCCTTTTCTGAGTGTATTTTTAATTATGTATATATATGTAACGAAGAGGAGGGTAGCATTTTCTAGTTTATTCTCTATTAATTGAAGATGGAAATGCCCCTAAAGGGATGGCTTAACATCTCAAACCCTTATGGAGATGACTTAAAGGGAGAATGTATATGTTGTTTTGTGAAGAAGTACACTTTTTTTTTTTTAAATTTGGAAGCATAAGAGCTTATTTTCAATGTGCTAAGCAGCTTACTGAAGGGAACTTACATTCTGTAAAGCAGTTGAGCTCCAACACAAGCCATTTAAACAAAAGTTTTCAGATTACTTTCTGTCCTAGTAATCACCAATACCAAATGTTGTAGTTTTAACATAATCCATGTGATTTATTGCATTCTCAGTGATCCTGGTAGTTCAAGGAAAACTGAAAGATATATTGTCTTGTACCGATGTATTTGCCAAATATAACTTCTTACAAACCATTTGGCAAAATCCAATCAGTGTGTTAAATGATAGACACAGCTTAAAAATGCTTGTATTTGTGGGAATTGAATGCTAGCAAATATCTGTTAAACAAAAAAAAATCTATAGAAGTATGAGTCTAACCACACCAAAGGTAATCTCATGTTTGCCATTTTACATGCACAGCAACAGTCAGTAATAGATTGAACAGATTTGAAGAGTTATTGGGAAAATAGAAAGCTATGATAGACTAGAATGTTCTCTTGTATGCAAACTTCTTCCTGGTATAATTCTTATCTGTTGATCAGTCACATGAACTGACAAATTACTTTAGTTGAAACCAGAGGCCATAGTATAATCTCATGAAAAACTGCTGTATGGATTTGAAAGTCTTCTCCTTGTTCCTGGGTCACAGTGGCTGTTTTATTCTGTCATTGATTCCACAATTTCCATGTGGCAAATGCTTACGAAGATGGCTAATAACCAGAGAGATTAACATCAGTGTACTGCTGTTGAAATTTAGCAACTGCAATCTGTAAGAGTCTTTACAAGCAGCTGGTTTACTACAGACCACCAAAAGCAATGAATGCTTGGTATGTAACTGCTTTTAAATGTGAATTACAACAGGTCATCTTTATGTCACTGATATATGGAGATCTATCCTTACGTTGACATAGTTTTCTTAATTTGCAGTGGTTAAAAACAGAGCGTGAACTAAGCTTGTGGAAACTAGTAGAGGGTTCAGAGTACCAAGAGCAACTGAAGTATGACTTCAATATAAAAGGGGAACTGAGGCATCTGGACACAAATGAGTCCTTTGTTTTCAATTATTACAAGAATTCACATGAGAAGAATCATGAACGCTATCAAGTCTTGGGACATCTGATTACTCAATATGTTTATGAGCTCCTGGAAAGAGTCTGCACACTGCAGAAAGTTTATATTCCTACTGATGCTACAGAGGATGAACCAAGAAGCTTCTTTTTTATGAGTGAGAAAGCACTAACAACTTCCTCTAGCATAATTGTGTTTCTTCAGGACCGTGGAGTTTTCCATGCTGGGCAGTGGGGGCAAAAGGCCATCATCAGGGAGGGCCTGAACCACGGAACTCAAATACCATTCATCAAAATGGCCCTCCAGAGCCATGGGGGGGTGATTGTACTGAATCCCAATGACAACCTTGTTGACCTGAAGATGGAAAGGGAGAGGCGAAGTTTCTCTGCTGGAGAAGAATCAGTGACTTCTACCCAGTCCTGCCAGTGGATCCCTAAGCGGTGCAGCAGCAGCCCTGAGGAGCACACCATGTATGTATGGGATCACTTCATTTCAAAGAGTGCAGCCAAGCACGTGGCCTTCATTGCCCATGGCTACGGTGGCTTGGTGTTCGTTGACCTGCTTGTGCAGAGAAAATGGGAAGTCATGAATAAAGTCTACTCTGTGGCATTCATTGACTCCTTGCACAACATACAGCATCAGACTGGAAGCGATCCCCAAATACAAGAATGGATACTGAAACACTGCCGTGAATGGGTATCCAACAGTAAGCCTCTGGATAAAGCTGTGGGGTCCCTCCTGAAAGTGAATTGTCCTACTGTCTCTGCTGGAACTGAAAAGTATGGCTTAGCACCTTCCTGCTGCCTGCATGCTGTCTTTAAGTACCTGAAGAGCACACTGAAAGCTAAGACCACAACAGCCTTCACGCGTTCACCTATTGCAACCAGAGGCAGCACAAGTAAGAAGAGAGACAATAAATAAAGGTGTCCTGGTTTGGCTTTGATAGTAGTCTCTTCCTTTCATAACCACCCCTGCACCTACAGCTCTTGGCAGGGGAGAGCCTTGGAGTTGTACATTTGAAGCTAGTTTGTTTTTGAGAAACATACAAGTTAACAATTATGGAAAAAAAAAGTGCTGTGTTGAAAGTTCCAGGTCACGTTCCTTCAGCTATCTGTGAAATTGCAAGTTGCACGAAATAAAGATGTTAAGATATCAACTCTTATCTGTATCTTCTTCTAAATAAACTTCCTGCAGTTTTAGCTCTATAATTAGATGAAACTATCAGCAAAACTGATTTGTTAAGTACATAGCTTTCAGTAAAAGTACAGTTCTGGAGTATATAAGGCATGCAAAGGAACTAGCACTCTGAATTATCCTATTGCCTACAGCAATATTACTTCTTAGTGCATGTCACACGGTGTTTAAAAATCTTTCCAGAGCTGTAAGATCCACCTTCCTCCTTGAAATATTCACTTGTTAAATCTTGTGGGAACTGAAAATGGTCCATGTCTGCAAAAGAACTCTGAAGGGCAAGAAAAGCTTTTCCTACAGCATCAGTTCTCATCTCAGTCAAAAAAAAAAAAAAAATTACTGAACAGTAATATTGGTTACAGAGAACAGAGTCAAATTCCCTTTCATATTTATACCTATTTGCAATTTTAGTCATGCCTGGTAACATATGAAGAAGTTTCCACCCCATTATTCAAGAACAGATGGAAATGTGAACAGTCAGGTAAACGCTTCCAATAGCAACCACAGCTTTTTGAATTAAGTAAGATGGGCTGATGTTATATTTGAATGAAAGTTAGAGTAAATAAGCTATTATTAGAATACACTGTTTAGTTCCTTCAAGAAAATTGCACTGGAGTTGCTGTCACAGTGCATGCAACAAGTCTGTTCTATAGCTGCCAGTCAGCATATAACTCAAAAGAATAGCCACTTACATGCATTCTACATGTTGAACACGTAGCTTTATTTACAAGAGAAGTATTAGGTGACAGAACATCTGTCTTCAGAAGGAGACCAATATGATCCTTCAATGCAAATGCTTGAAATGTCCCACGGTGTCAGAAGTTGTTAAAAATGCTCAAAAAGTTATCTAGAATATCTGCCAGTTCCACAGTTCTTTCTCTCAGGCCAGCTCATTAAATTCCTTGGTAGAGAAGGTCATATTTAGGAATGTTATTAGGATCGATAGGACTTCTTACAATGAGCTTTCCACGCATTGCTCCACGGTAAATCACTTCAATAAGATCTATAAAGTCTTGCTTTGTTTTGAAGCTTCCTACAAATTTGGTGTGATCTGGAGACCTAAAGATAAGCATACGATAAAGGCAGAATTGTAACATTAAAGTGTTCAAAGCAAAAACACTTGAAGGTAAGAAAAGCTGTATAATGAAATTAAGGATTCTGACTTGGTCATTCTGAAAGAAACCCACAGCAGTAGTAATGTCAGAGCCAAATCTGGAATATACTGTGACTTGACATCCTAAATCCGAAAAGGTGCAGCATTGCGTCTAAGATTTTACCCATGCTATTTCTTGCAGAGTCAGATAAATTTCACAACTGACACATACTTATTGAATTACAGCATATTTCAAAATACTTTTTAGTTTTATGTCCTTCTGCCTTTTCTCACAGTTATCTAAAGCAGATGTTGTCAAGAACAGTTTTCAAACCTTATGTCCTATAGACAAGGTAACCCAGAGAGAGACTGCTGATTATTACAGACATAACAGATAACATCAGGTAGGATGACATACCCATAGTCAACCTTCATGTGCTGTCCATTGAAGAAAAATACTGTAGAAGGAATATAACTGATGTCAAAATACTGGGTGTACACAGGAACGTTGTTCACATCCACCAGGTAGATGACTGCCATTTTACTTAGGTCATGAGCTGTCTTTGCAAGCTAAAAAAAGTGAGAAAGATGACAAATGGGTTAAGGCACAAGATGGAAAAAGGTGGAAAGCTTCATAAAGCCTATTTCCATTACACCTTATCACTTAAAACAGGGCTAGAATATCACCTTTTTGACTTCAAACGCTTTGTATGCCCATTACGATAACATAAACATCAGCTTAACTTTCAAATGGTTTATGGCATTATTTCGTTTTATATCTACTTGTCAGCATGCAATCACCGTCTTCGTAAGGTCCCATCTTTTCCAAAAGCAACACGACGTTCTCCTGTGCGCAACAGGTATACCCGTAGAGTTTATTTATTTAAAAAAGGGGAGGGGGGAAACGCTCTTACAATATCATCGAGCTGCAGACAAACAGCATCGTTATCTCTTCCAAACCGGAGCACCAAAACCTTCTCCGCCACGCTTTTTATCGCCTGATCCACCTCCCTCTTACAGCTCAGCTTGGGCAGCAGAAAACTCATCGTGACAGACCGCAGCTTCCGCTGAAGCCCCACACCGAAGTATTAATAATTAAAAAAAAAAAAAGCGTCAAAAATTAAAGCAGCGAGCCAGCCCCTAACGGGGGGTGACGAGAGGGACGGAGCCTGGCTCCTCCCCGGGCATGCTCTGCCCTTTCCGCTGACGGCGAGCACAAAATGGCGGCGGCCGGCGGCGGCGGCCCTTAGCGGCGCGGGGAGGAGGCAGGTGCGGGGACGGGACGCTGAGGGGAGGAGGAGGCCTCATGGCGCCCTCACGGCGCCATGGAAGGCTCCCAGGAGGGCTCCGGGGACGCTCTGCGGTGCTCGGGGGAGCGTTAAGGGTCTGGTGTGGGCCGCGTTGGAAGTTAGGAGGAAGTCGTGTTTAAAAAAAAATAAATAAATGAGAAAAGCGGTTATGGTGCTGCAGCTCTAGGTTCTCCAAGAGGTGGTTCAAACGCTGCAGGTTGGCTGCGTAGAAAAATAATTTGGTTGTTATCAAAAGCTGCGATCAGGTGTTCAGATTGTGGAAATCTGTCTTTCAGTTTCACTGGAGCTCCAGTAATAGAAGTTAATTGAGGAATCTGTCCCTTGGCTTCTGCAGTTGGATGGCAGACATTCTCAGATTATTAATTTTGTTGGGATGTTTAATACTTAGATTTCAAATTACAAATATTTCTATTGTAACACTTAAGCATTTTCTCTTTGCTTCACACTGTTAGGTATTTTTGTTAGTTTTATCTTAATGAAAGTAGAAAATGAAAACTTGGTCACAAATTTTGACAAGTTACGGTATCACAGAATCATTAAGGTTGGAAAAGCCTCCAAGATCATCTGGTTCAACCATCCCCCTACTGCCAGTGTCACCCACTATGTTTAAACGCACTTCATTTTTATTTAAATGCTTATTAATAATACACTCTTTCTGTGGCTCTGCATCTGGGCAGGTATGTTAATTATATGTTAATTCCAAAATAAGTTTAATTTGTTCTCCTGTACATCTGATTATTTTCAGGTGGTAAGTTATTGGGGGAGATTCTGAATTATATTTTGTAGAATCTTAAGCCAATTTTTATGTTTTGGCCAAATAATTTTTTTTCTCTAACATTCACTGCATCTTCAGATCTTCCTTAAGTAGATTTGCACTGGATAAGGAAAATATTAAACACTCTTTGTATTTTTCTTTCTACAAACCTCTTACATTTAAGTACAAATGTGTGTGAGATTAACAGCATTGTAGGTTTCCTGTCCTTAACTTTATGCAGCGATACTGGCTTCATAGGCAGTCCAGCAAAAAAAAAAGAAGATGGTCACTTCCTGTACTAGTTCTTTGTTGCTTCATTTTGTTTTTGTTCCAGGAACTGTCTAGCACATCAGGTATGGAATCTCATTTGGCTGGGATGATCACACTTTTTTTCCTCTGTTTTCTTCTTTTCCACCACCTGGTTAGTTGACTGTAGGATCAATTCACTGATTTGGTTCATAGTGTGGCCACGTGAATGTTTGCACTGCTGAGAGAGCCAGGAACAAGGGCCTCAAGTGTGTCTTCACTGGCAGTAGGATTGGCTTAGCAAAACTGTAGTACTGGTAGTTCCAGTACTTCAGTGACCTGCAATGTGGAAATGGCTGCAAGAATTAAAAAGCAAGTATTAAAGTAAAAAGGAAAAACTTGAGTACCAAAGTTTGCTAATAAACCTTTCTAACACAATAGAAAACAAAAATGTGATCTTCTTTAATACAAAGTTATTCCAGAAAATATTACTAGATGAAGCACCTTATCCATTTTCACAGTGTAGGCAAATTAGACCAGGTTGTGTTTTTAAAATAATTTCAGATTACATGCGGCATTTTGCTTACGTTTGTTGCAAAGGCTCTTCTTTGTCAAATGATAGGGGTAATGGAAATAGATCTCAGACAATACTTAAAGGCTGACTGCATTTTGAAGTGCAGTAAGTACCACTGTTTTAAGCAGTAGAGATAACCACGTCTATTTGTGACAGCACTACATACATCATTTTTGTTTAGAAAGAGTAGTAAACCAATAGTGGAAGCGGGAATTCCTAGTGTTCCCCAAGAAGCAACTTACTGTCTGTTGACATTAATAAATATGATTATCTGTGTGTGTTTTCTTCATGACAAGCTTTCTGACAAGTTTTCTTCACCTCTTACGCTGTTTTGCAGATAAGCGTTTGACCACAGCACGTGTCCAAGTATGCAGTCTGCTAACATGCTTCTGAAAAAGCTTGTAAGATATTCTGTCTTTCCATTTGCTGCACAACATGGGATGAAACAGGATTTGTTTTCACTCAGTAGGACTCTGATTTTATCACATTGCCTGAAGGAGGGCAGTTCACGCAGTCCCTCAGAAAAACTAGATTTAGATGCGTGGAAAGAAGTAATGAAATCTGGGTTGCAAGAAGTCAGTGCGACGGCCTCAGAGCCTAAGGAAACTTCCGCTTTGGCTGCTGCACGTGAGATTCTGGAGATGTGGAGACTAGCTGGTAGATTGGTTCCAGAAAATGTCACTGAAGAACAACTAAAAACGTTTATAGAATGTCCTTCCAAGTCAGCCAAAAAGAAGTTCTTAAAATTTTTGTATCTTAAAGAACTTCACAAGAAAAGTGAGAAAAGGAAGACAGAGGAGAGAAGGGAAAGGAGGCTAGAAATGCAAGAGAGCACTTCAAAAGCTGAAGAGCCCAAGAGGAATCCATTTTTATGCTTGTGGACCAGCTCTATGGACAAAATATACAACTGGAGGGTAGCTCAGTCAATGATCTTTGGCCAACCTCTAGTATTTGACATGTCTTATGAAAAGGATATGTCAGACAGAGAAGTAGCAAATACGGTGAGACAGTTGGTATTGAGTGAAAGTTGTAATCGAAGATCTGTGGATCCATTCCACATTCACTTCTGTAACTTCAAAGATGACAGCCTGTATTACAAGGAATTTATCAAACATTATAGAGAAGCGTGGGGCAAACTACTTATAACTGTGACAGACCAGTGCTACACAGATATCTTTCCGAAGAATAAGCTTGTCTATCTGACCGCAGATTCTCCCAAAGTCATGAAAACTTTCGATCATGACAAAATCTACATTGTCGGGTCTATGGTTGACAAGAGTATAAAAACAGGAGTCTCTTTAGCACAGGCAAAACGCCTGGGGCTGGAGACTGCAGCCCTTCCGCTGGAGAAATACTTGCTTTGGAGTAGGGGTGCCAAAAATCTCACACTGGATCAGATGATGCATATTTTATTAACCCTGAAGGATACCGGGGACTGGAAGAAGGCTCTGGAATTTGTTCCCAAAAGGAAGTACACAGGCTTTGTAAACAAGCCTGTGCATGAATTGAAAACGGCCTTAAACCTGATCAACGCGCTTAAACTTCGGAAGAGGCAGGGTGAATTACGAAAGCAATTTGCAAAGAACTACTCCAAGAAGCTAACACAAAAGTAGAGTGCTGAGGAAGAAAACAATATTTGCTGGCAGGCTGTACCCTCGAACGCTCCAGTTTCTGTGGACTTGCGGAACTGTATTTGAGTATTTGTCACTAAAAATGCAATTGTTAGTCCAACTGAGATGACCTTTGTGAGGGGTGATTTTGTAAATTGACCGTGGCGTGGGGCAGACTGGATTTATTTGTGCGTTGTTGGAATTAACGTGCGAGGAAGGAGATAAAATTGGCTGTTCACAGCGCCTGGCTCCGTGCAGTTGTGTGGGGGGGGGCGGGGAGCGGACCTGCCCCTCAGGGGTTGCCGTGAGGCGCCAAGAGGAGGCGCTCGCGCTCCCTGAGGCGCGGTAGCGCCGGAAGTGCGTCACGCCCGCCGCGCGTCGGGGAAGAAGGCGGGGAGGGAGGAACGGGGTCGCCCCGCCCCTGTGGCTGCGCGGGGGGCAGCGCGCATGCGTGGCGCGGCAGGCGGAGGCGGGGACAAAATGGCGGACGGCCGGGCGGAGGGCGACAAGGCGCGGCGGCCGCAGCAGCCCGCAGGAGGTGAACACGCAGCGCCTCGCCCCGGGAGGGAACGGGAAGGGAACGGGAAGGGGGCTCGGCGGCGGCCACGGGGGGTGGGGGGAGCCGGGGGAGCAGCCCCCGGCCGGGCCGTGAGGGGACGGGGCCTGGGCCCGCCTCAGGGCTGGCCGTGGCCCCTCAGGAGCGGTGCGGCTGCTGCGCTGCTGGCGCCTCAGGATCTGCTTTTAGCAGCTGCGGTACTTGTACAAGTAGAGATGCAGGGAACGTTCGTTGTGTGCCATTTTAAGCACCTTGGTGGCCTTCTTTTTCCTCTTTTTTTTTTTTTACTTTCAATTTCATCAATCCTTAAGTTTTCAGTCTGATTTTATGTTATTCCAACCTTAACTCGGATATTCTTGTCTTCTTGTGTACTGCTTATCATCAGTTTTCTTCAAATTTGTAATCGTGCTTCTTTCTCTCCTTCTCTCTCTTTTTTTTTTTTCCCCTCATGACTTAAAATTGAGAAAATAGTGGCCTTGCAAAAGCTAGAGCTTCCCTTTGCTGTTTTTGGTTTAAGTATACCTAGAAACTGGTGGCACTTCTTTGATCAGTTAAAAGATTAAATTAAGCTTGTAAACCAATTAGCGTAGTCTCAACAGTGAATGTCATTTCTGATGATCGCCAAAATACGAACGGTAACACGTGATTTGGGGTAGTTCCTAGACTCTTGAAACCCTGGTGTTTTGTCTTTGTTTTTTTAATTTGGTTTTATACTTTCTAAATTCTAGTAATATAACCACTGGACGGCACCACTATATCAGGTGTTCATGCTGTCCTGTGCACTTCTTCGGTGTGCTGGAACGAGCTATGGGGCATTGGCCCTAATGAAAGGTGTCGTTCACTGATGACATTTTAAGACAATTTAGTTTTTCTTTTAGCAAGTTTTTTCCCCTTAAAGTTAACTTAATTATGACTCTTCAATGTTTTTTATCCCCACTGCACAGTGGTCACAATCCCACAGACAACATATCCTGTGATGCTTTGCACCAAGCCCTCTTGGTCCTGTCACTTGGACCACCTAGGCGGTGAAGGTTGTCCACTTGTTTATCTTGATACTTATGAGGAAAACTCATCTGTGTAGCAGCTTATGATTACTGTGATCCATTAAAGAGCACTGGTCAGACTAGATCTCAGAATAGCGGTGCTTGTGGTAGGTGAAAAATGACCACCTGAGATTTCTAGGAAATAATGAAAAAGCCTTAATTAATAAAAAAGTCTACCTTGGCTTGAGAAATTAGACCAGTTTAATGAACAATATATGTCTGCGTTTATAACTGTTTGCTCTAGGAATATAATATTTCTAGACACAACTGTTCCCACACCCTCCCAATTGTCGTGAGCTCTTTATAGCACCTTCAGCAAGTTGAGTTTTTTGTAAGGAAGCAATTTCTTCCATCAGTCTACAGTTTGTCCTAAGCAGAGCCTGTCAAAAGTAGTATTTATAGTTCAGTGGTGATAGAACCTAATTTTGAGACCAGAGTTGCTTAACATTTCATAGAGAAGGGTGAGAAAACAGGTGTGGGAGTTGATACATCCAACCCTAGATTGTCTTAGACATGATGTTTTGCTCAGCAGTACTGAAGAATTCACAGCCAAAGCAGTGAGCTGCAGTCTAGTGCAGTTCAACTTAGCTTCAAGGTGGCCTGGCTCAGGAACCTGGACTGGGCCAGTGTGCCCTGACATCTGGGCTGCTGCGATTGTCGTGTCTTACGAAGAGGCAAACTTCTAGACCCACAGTTCCCAAACTTTTCAGTCCAGTGTAACTTCTCCATCCCCTCAAATCACCTTACATGCTATGGTGTAAACTAGATTAGTCTAATAACTTAATATTCTGCTTAATGTGATTTCATGGACAAGCTGTAACCAGCTTCTCAAAGCACTGCAGAGTGGTGTTTGTAAAATGCTGCTAAGACAGCAGCCAGTACCCAAGGTCACTCGTGTAAATGTTGCCTCTTCTCTTTCGTCTTTATTAATCACTTCTATATCTAGAGTCAAATTTCTAGTGGTGCAGACTAATATTGTTTTTCAATAGAGTGAAGTTAGAGATTTTTATTTCTCTGTGTGTTGTATATATGTTGTATAGTGATCTATCATCTTCCCAAAGGTGAATAATAAATCAATTTTTATTCCAATCACTTATTATCCTGATAACTAGAATAGTGAGGTAGAAAGGGTATATTCTGCTAATATGACAATACCAATGATTTGGGAAATAGCAGAAATATATATATACGTATATATAGATGTGGATAGGCAGTAAATGCACTGTGAATGGATGCCTGAAAAAATGCAATATTGAGCAGTTACAAGCTTAAACTGCAAATTGAGGCAATGTTAAGAAAAATTATATACGCCAAATTGAAGGATACTTCTGTTTTTCTCATTTCAGTTTCCTCATGTCCCTGGTTTTCCTTTCTCCTGACGTTGTGTGCTTCCTTTTTTTTCCCCCTCAAAACTGCAATCTTGTTGACCCCAAATTCAGACTAGCCTCTCTCCCATTGCTCTGCCCTCTTTATCTGCTTTTGCTGTTAGAGAGCAGTGCCAAGAAATTTCTTCCCTGGTGGCCTGATTTTGCTCCATGTGGAGGGTCCTTTTCTCCATTTCAGATGATGAGAAACTGGTGGTAGTTAGAGTTTTTCTTAGTCTGATAGTATGAATGCTTTCCTGTCCATTCTCCAATGCATGCTTTTTTTTTTTTTTTTTTTTTCTCCCATCTGCTACTGCAGTGATTTGCTTATTGCAGCAGCAGAGAAATGTATTTTTGCTGAAGTGTTTACTATGTTCACCACGAGTCTTCCAAGGACACCTTTGTACCTTGGTGTAGCTGAAGAAGCCGTGTCTATAGGAGATGCAAATGTGATTCGAGTCATTTTTCCTCTGTGAATCATTCATTGTTCAGCTACTGTGTTTTCTATGACATTGTGCAAAACCAGAAAAGTTGAAATCTCTATATATGTTTTTCTAGTGCTGATTCCTTCCTCAAGCAGAGCTTGGCAGATTTATTACAGATGAGATGTGGACAAGCAGTGACTTGAAACATGGTTGAGACAGACGGCCTCACTCTAGTCACTTCCATGGTCTTAGAGTTGTGCCAGACAAGCCTAGAGACTGGCATGGACACGTTTTTGTAAAAGTTGGGTAGAATTAAATTTATCTTAAATTATCTGCTGTAGATTTGGAATTGGGATTTTGATTGTGAAACCTTATCTGTTGCAACTTAAACCCTAAAAAGATTTAGTCATCTACATTTAATTTACTACATGAACTTTGACTTCCATACTAAATAAAGAGATGGTGCTTCAAGATTGTTTTCCTGGCTCGTACACAAGAAGTTCTTTACAAGTAGTGGAGTGCTTGTGGTTTCTTCTACTCGTTGTATTTTGCTGTCTACTAAATGTACATTGGTGACAACTGCTGTCACTAAAAACACCTAACCTATTGCACTCAAAGTATAATGCTTTATGAGGTTGCTGCTCCCATCAATCTGCTCAGTAAAAATAGCTCATCTTGGTAAGTTGTTTCGACTTCACCAGGACCTGAAGAAGAGGCAGAAAAACCTGTGAAAACTAAGACTGTTTCTTCCAGTAATGGAGGGGAAAGTTCGAGTCGCAGCGCAGAGAAACGGGCAGCTAATGAAGAAGCTGAAGACTTCACCACAAAGCCTGCCCCTGCCAAAATGTCCAAGTTTGGATTTTCCATAGGCAATCAGACAGCAAAGAAGACATCTGCAATATCCATCAAACTAGCAGCAAATGTAAGTTGTCTGAAGGCTTTTAATTCTCAGGAAAGTGTGGTGAAGGGGAAGTACTGTGGGGAGGCTTCCTTGCAGAAGGAGTCTTGAATTAAATGCGGGTGACTTCACCTAAGTTTAAGAAAGCACTGCAGGGCCGCATACTTTTGCATATGTAAGGACTTGCAGGCGATTAATCCCAGGTCAGTTGTCTCAGGAAGCGTAAGACTTGATGGAAATTAACTGCAGATCTTTGAACATACAGAATAATTTTGTAATGAGATTGGATAGTGGAATAATTTCCTGAGGGAAATGAGGAGACTCATTAAACTGTTCAAGCCACTTCGAAATGAGAGCTGGGAGCTCCGTTGCATGGGATGCTTAAAGGTGCACAAAAGCAAGTCCTCTCTGAGATGCCTAATAGGTCATCTTCACTCCAAAGATCATATTTTTGCATGGGAAAGGCTAGCTTGTTCTTCATAATTTTGCTTGTTACTTGCAAGGTCAGTGTGATTCATTTATCATAGTGCACTCTTTTTTTAACCTTGTTGAAGGACTTTTTGGGAAGCCTATTAAAATAATGTGAAAGAGACGAGACCTCTCTTAAGAATTTTCATGCCCCGTGTTGACCAGTAAAGGTTATCCCTGTGCTTGTTTAATGTGAATCTGATGCTTCTCTTTATTATCAAAGTAGACCTGTGCTAGCTTAGGCAAGGACAAGCCAGATGCTGCCTCTATTTAATAAAGTTTATTTATACTTCCCACATCCCACTGTGCTGGATAGGTTATAAACCCTTGTCTGGCTTCAGTTCGGACTGTAATCATGAAAGGCTTGCACCTGCAGTGCCAGGATTTTACAGATCTGCAAAAAATGAAAAGAGTGGTTTGTTACATCTCCACATGGGAGGGAGATGTGGGCTGGCAGCATTCTGGGGTATAAATGCAATCAGGTCAATCAGACTTTGGAAAAATCGACAGAGCTGCCTTCTGAGCTACTAGCAAGCTTGGATTTCTCATGTAAGAAGCTATTTCCAGTGGCAGTAAATTTGGCTCAGGATTTTTGGCTTCCTGCGGTTAGTGGGTGACTGACAGTGCACCAGGTTTGACAGTGCTGTAACTCAACCGGTTTCCTTTTAGTCATTTCTGTACTTTCTTAGTATGCTACCTGTTCCTGTGGAGTCGAAGCTGTAAAAAATGACAGAATATTTACACATTATAGGCTGTTGGATGTGCTGTAGGCAGTTGCCTAAGGACTCGTCTGCAGTATCAGGTTCCAAAATACGAATGTATACAGAATGATAACCAATGAAGTCAAAATGGAGGATGCACTGTATATGACTGATTTAGATAAGTGGTAGTACTGTTGCAGCAAACTGTTAATGATGATTCAACACTTTTTTGTAGTCTTACAGCAAAGACAGAAAGTAACTCAGATGTAAGTAGCCTGATACACTTGAAATAGAGGAGGGTATTTCTGGAAATCTAAAAATACGCTTTTCAAGGGGCCTTATAGTTATCAGGCCTCCATGGTGTGATGTGCAGTGATACTAGTTAAAAAGTATTGGATTGTTTTAGGCCAGAGAGCTGTTGAATTGTTAAAAGATGGGAAGGTAAACATATTCAGCTACCTGGCATTAATGGATAAGAAAACTCCAAAAGAATAATGTATAATAATAACAGTAGTGTAGTAAAACTCTGAACACCATGACTTAATGAAGTCCTGGTTTAATTGTTCATGTCATGCAGCAGAGGCTGTGTACCCCTGCAGTGTGCTAGGAAGTTGAGATTCGCTTGTTTTCTTGTAATCTGAGAAGGCTCAGCTAGCTTTTCAGAGAGTATCTTGCACAAATGAGAAGCCATTTTCCCTTTCATTGGAGAGAAACCTTCACCTGTTTGATTAAAGCAAAAATACTTTTCCCCCTTGTTGCCCCCATCAGTTTAAATGAAAATGCTTGACTTTGTTTTACCAGATTATTTAAAATGAAAAGGGGAGGGGTTTTTTTGATTGGGTAGACTTACTTTCCTTGTGCATTTCATCTCTTTCAGAAGCCTAAAGAGCCCGTTCCAACCCTTGCTCCAAAAACGCTTTCTGTAGCAGCGGCTTTCAATGAAGATGAAGATGTGAGTAATAAGGCAGTGACTGACACAACTTTGAATCCTGTTGGTGTAGGTTAGAGTTAGGTAGAGACCAGTGGGTCATTCAAGGTTTTTACACAATCGTGAAAACTTTCAGCTTAGAAACATCTGTCGTTTTTCTCTTTAAGTATGTACAATTTTGCAGCACTGTGTTGGTTCAAGAAATCATTAAACTTAAATTAACTTCTCCCTGAAAATGAAATATACATGATTCGAATTAATGGTTGCTTTCTCTGGGTTTATTTTTTATTTTATTTTATTTTATTTTTTAAAAAGGAGCCAAAGGGAAGTTGTGCTCCTTTTAGTTTGAGTATTTTGTTGTCTTGTTGCTGCTCCATCTTGAACAGAGATGATCAAAGGAATTTGTACTTGTTACTTTGTGTAATCTTGTAGAACCTGTGTTTTTGTTCTAAATCAAATCGCTTTCCCGTGGGACAGCATTCCCCATATTATCACTGAAATGTTCAAAAGATGACAGCCAGCCACGCTCTAAACTCCTTTTTCCTTTGTAGAGTGAACCAGAAGAAATGCCTCCAGAAGCTAAGATGCGCATGAAGAATATTGGAAGGTAGGTCAGCTGTGGTTTGCAGAAGGGTGAGCACATAAGAGTTTCTTCAGCTCAGGTCAGGTCTTTCAGCTGGTTTACAAATACAGAAAGATGGGTTAGGTTCAAAAGTTTTTCTTCAGACATCAGAACATTTTATCTAAAATTTCAGCTGTAGATTGAAACGTACATTTATGTTTGCACTTTGGATCATACTTGCTGCCTTCTTTCTGAAGAATAAATTGATTCTGTATTAAACAGAAACTAGTTTGCTTCTCGAAAAGTATTAGTCAAGAGCTACAAATTGCAAGTGTTCATGCTTGCAAACTAAACTTTGTATCTTTCTAGTTCCCTGTTTTATGAATTGTCCTGAAATAATGTAGTCTGCTCTGATTTTTTTAAACCCATGCAAGAAAAAGATGAAGATTATATCTTTCAGAGGGAAGAACAATAGCTGATGTACTTTTGAAATAAATGTATGTCATTCTTTTGCTTGACACACATTTGAGACACAGTCAGGTCAATCTTAAAGTAAACATGGATGCTTCCAGAGAAGGCTTCACTTAAATGAGGGATGAATTTGGGCATATATATTTTAAAGAGTCTACCATAATAGACTGCTTTTAAAGGCACTCCCCTGAAGGCTTACTGCTGCTCAGTGGATTTTTTATCTACAGTAGCAGACTTGGATTTTTATTTTTTTAGCCCTTAAAACAGATTCTTCGCTGCTAGCAGCAGTTACTGCCGCTTCCTCTGCTGCCGCATCTCCTCGCTCTCTTGGTGTACCACAGACAGATGAGTTCTGTGGCCAATTAACTGTTGCCAAACCAAGGGGTCCTGATGTAACTGAAAGAAAGATACGTGTGGTAGCTCCTGGCAGCAGGCTGGGCATGAAATCAATGTTTTCCCTTGTCCTGTTGCACCAATTACTACAGTTAAATTGACTTTCTCAGCTGATACTGTTTTTGCTTTTCACAGGGATACACCAACCTCAGCAGGACCAAATTCCTTCAATAAAGGAAAGCATGGGTTTTCTGACAACCAGAAGCTATGGGAACGAAATATAAAATCTCATCTTGGAAATATCCATGACCAAGAAAATAACTAAATGATGTGGATTGAGGTTTGGGGGGAGGGGAGGGGATAACATTAAAGGAACAGTTTCCTTTTTTAAGAATGGTATAAGACTATCTTTGGAGCCACTTTTTTAAGATTTTGAGTGGTACACTAATAACTGAGTTTGAAATTAGAGGTAATTTATGTTTTGTATACAGATTTCAAGGCATTTGCTAATTTTGTAGTTTCATGTGATTAGTTTCAAAAGGTTACAGATAATAAAGAAATTGGAGTGGTACCTTTTTAAGATTTTTTTTTTTTTGTCAGCGATTAAGGTGGATGAAAAAGGTTACTGTCTCTTTAATCAGGTTAACATTGAATGCTCTTGCATTCTCACTTCTGGCTCCCTCTTCCTAACAGGAGAAACAGTTGGCTCCTGGGAATACTGCAAAAGAGTGAGCATTGTTTGTGCTAGAAGTGTTACTGGACTATTAATTTGAATATGAATTTAAACAGGAAACATTAAGAACCTAGACTTTTTTTTTCTCCCTACAGTTAACTTTTTGTTTAGTCTCTGCAAACTAGGAATTACGTTGCTCTGAGTGGCTCTGGTAACTTAGCTCTAATTTTGTTTAAAACTTCATGTAGGATGTGTTACATTCTGTGGCTTGTTTCATCCTAAGGAAATGGGCCTTGTCTGTATATTAGATACAGTCTGTAAAGAATATTCACTACAAAGATAAATCAGTATTTTCAGTGTGCTCCTCTTAAATCATTAGCCTTGAGTAGTGCTTGTTAGCATTTCCTTGTGAATTAAATAGAGACTAATATTAAAAGCAGTAATAAGTGATACACAAAAGCCACCACCAAAAAGACAAGATAATGTACATTAAGTTTCCCATTTGGTTGAAATATTTTTCTTTACTATGCCTAGAAGGAATAAAAGCCACACCAAAAATCAGTAACTCACTGCTTAAGTATGAAAAATCTAAGATGCACTTTCCCTGTCTTGCTATTTAAAACAAAATGCCTTGATGCCTGTGACTTCAGACACTATCAGGTTAAAAAAAAAAAAAGTTGTTTTTTCAGTCCTAATGCTCCTAGGAAGTGTCAACTTCAGAAATAACTTGCTCTCTTTCTGTCTGTCTGCCTTGTGCAGTAATTCTGAACAACGATACTGGCACGGTCAGTGTAATTTCCTAGCTCATGTACTTCAGAACAGTGCTGAAAGATTTTAAATCTGGTAAGGACCATCTAAACTTTGGTCTGATTTGGATTTAATAGTTTTAAAACATCTTACTAGCAGAACTGTTTACTTAAAAATAATGAAAACTGACAGCAATGACAACAGACACCTGCAGAAACTGAAGGTTCTTTCTAGACTCAAATACCTGATAGTGTCAACCACTCAATTAATTTCAGCCAGGATCTGGTTGTAGAATTCAATATGTTAATTGCTTTCATTCTGTCTCTAAAGCCTCTCTTCATGCTAGAGTTAAAACTGCAAGAGCAGAAAGGAAAGTGCATCTTCAAGTGTATTTTTTTATTTCATTTTAGGAAAGCTCTGACCACTTGGACTTTTGAGTTTGTACGTTCTAAAAAATATTTTTTGTATTTTTGTATTGTATGTGTAATCTTTTTTCTTTTGAAGTCTGATGCAGTTGAATACCTGTAACTATTTTCTTTAAAAGCCTTGTTATAAACGTAACATAAAAATGTATACATTATTTTTTTTCCATAGCAGAAATCTTTGGTTTATTTAAAAAACAACAACAACAACAACAACAAAAATACACTAAAACTGACCTGGGGATTATTGGAGCTAGGCAAGACGAAGTGTTTTGCTTTTTGACTTTTTATTATATGTGGTTCTCCTTGTCCGAAGAAATGCCCATCAGGTAGTAGTAAGTCACTGTGAATAGCTAGTTTAACTTGCTCCTTCTTAGCAGTTACTTGCTACCTTCTCAGTCACTTGTGTTGGGAGAAAGCAAAAGGGGGCTTGTGGTAAGAGGATGACTGAGACCTATTCATTCTTATTTAACTTACTGTCAACCGTGTCTTCCACATCCTTGGCTGAAGTAGACGTTGATTTCAAGTTTCGTAGTACTTCAGCTTAGAATCCTTTAAGAGACTGCTAGGCAGAACAGCAGATGTGCTAGGATATAGCTTTCACATAAGTCACATAGCAAAAGTTATATTTATCTTATTTACTTGCATGGTCAATTAACGTAATCCTACCCCCTGTGAGAGACTGCAGCAACTTCTAGATCTGAGCTGGAGGTAAGCAGAGATCCTGTCTCACTCCAGGTATGAGTTCTACTTCCTTCTCAGTGCTACGTGGAAGAAAATCAAGTCAGGATTGCCTAAATTCACTCAGGAGAATGCCTAACACATTTGATCTTGTAACGACAAAGGTGTCTGTTTAATGTAGGGCCTGATGCAGGAAAGAACTAATCTCACAAGAATTGTCAAGGAAAATGTTAGCTAGAACTTTGCTTGAAGTTCTATGCTTCTATTATGACAGTCGTAGTCTTTGAATGAATATAGTAGTACTGGGGAAATATTTTCAGTTTTTTTTTTTTAATTTAGGAATTCAGGAATTATAAAACTCATTGTAAGCTACCTGATTTAGCTATCTTAAGTGCTTCCAGGGCATTTGCAGAGACAGCTGCCTGGTATAGCGAGATATGTATGCCTATGAGTGGTTGAAACGTGTATCCATGCAACTTGTGCAGTTTTAACTCAGAAAGCTTTTGCTTGCTTATCAGTAAAGCTTTACTTAGCACCTGAGCAGCTTGTATCTTCAGCTAACATCCTGAATATTTTGCAAGTAGTGCAAACTGCCATGGCAACTGTCATAGTGTAGATTACCTAATTATTATATTCAGCCAATTTTGACCAAAAAACTATCGTGTCATAGTGTGTCCACTGGGGCATTAGCCACTGATGCATTCAGGCATTCGGGTGTGCTGAATTCCATATGCTGTGGGTAGTTTTATCGAAGCTTTCCTTGGGAGGAGACTTTGAGAAAAGTCAGCGTTGGTGGAAAATAGTTGCTTCTGCTTCCTGAAGAGGCAAACCGAGTTTTTAAGTTACTGGAAATCACTGGGGTCACTAGAACTCTTTTTAGGCTGCTGCAAGATAAGAACATAAATCTGTTTGGAGGAGCAACTGAATTTCGGGAAAGCTTTGTGGCTGCATATTTAGTAGCTTTAAAAGGTGTTCTGCAAATGTGTGTTCGTTTTCTCTTTTTTAATTATGTTTTTTAACACCCTATGAACTGGGAAATGCCATGAAGGTCCTACAGAAGGGAAGGTTACATTCCAAAATCAGTGTGATTTGTCTAGTTCCCATGCCATGAGATGCTAGAATAACATAAAAATTGGACAACTAGCAACTTGCTTTTTACTTGATCCTATTAATACAGTCCTTATTTTTTCTTTTTTATTAATAAAGGGATCTTCTGCTGTTCTTTAACTGCTGCATATTCACGTCTTAAAAATTACAGTGTTTACTTAGGGAAGGTGCTTGTTTAATAACTTTGAGCTGTTGTCTCAGGGCAGAGGCATAGGTATCTGTATAATTAGAAGCATAAACCTTGAGCTATTACACTTTAACTGCATATAACCTTGTTAAGTTTCTGTTTATGAATTTCCATTTAAAAGTTGGGCATGATAAGAGTCCAAGCAAGGGATTTAGTTACCAAAGTCAACCTTTAAACTCTCCAGTGCATGCTTTTTGCAGTATAGGTCTGTATATGCAAGCTACCCTTTAGGGTAGGGTGACTAAGTAGGAGTGGTTGTCACAGCTAGCAATTAAAATATGAACTTTCTGATCCAGTTATGTACAGTGAGATTTTAAAAACCTTTGCTAATCTGGTGACAGCGGTTTTGGTTGTTGTTTCTTTTTGGATTTCCGAATGAAACAGATGCACAGATGAAGTGCTTGTGTTTTTGTAGTGAGAGCTTTGCTGAAGCTTGAAGTCCTGAGCCTGTGTTAATACTTTCCCTGAAGTATGAACATAATAATCTAAAGTAATGCAAGTTATAATAAAGGCATAACTATCACTCCTCCTCTCCCCCAGCTTTCCGTAATTTGTAGTCATAGTCATTATGCGTAAGCGTTGGTTGATTCCTAGTAGGATGTTATAAACTGCTAATTCTGCCTTTGCTGTTGTGAAAGAAGTCTAACTGTAGTAGCCTTTCGTGTTCATACATACACCTTAGCATTGCAAACAAAGAACAGTAATCAGGAAGCTGGCAGATAGCTTAGGATATTAACACTAACTTGCACTACTGCACAGATAGATAGTAACACTTAATGCTGATGCTTGTATTTATAAAGCAGAGCCCTTTTACTAAGAATATTACCCTTAAATAAAACCTTTCAAATGGGGGCAAGATTGAACATTACTGATCTTGCTGAAGAGCCACGGTAGACTTATAAAGGTATTTGACAATAACCTGAGAGTGATGGTAGTGACTGAAGTCATTCCAGGCCTTTGACCATCTTATAGTTTAAAAAAAAAAAACACAAAAACACCCAAATAACTAGCATGCTGTCATGGGAACAGGTCTCAATGGATAAGTGCTTAATAGGCACTAGGTTCCCAACAGCCAGTGGCAGCAGCAGCTGACCTAACCTATGGTAAAAGTCCATTACATGCATACTAGTAGGCCACATCACTTCTTCAGTACACAGCCTTTTGAATCCCCCCTTTTGACTGAATTATGTATTTCTAGTGTAGCCTAGTTAACTGTATAGGTCTGCAGAAGAGTTAATATGCTGAAATGCTAACCATTAATATACCTAAGTCTTACCATTTCTCTTAGGCCATCGGGATACACCATAAACCAACAAAACAATGACCAAAAACAAAAAAAAAGGCTTTTCTGTAATGCCAATGTTGCCTTAGCATTGCTCCTAAGAGGAGAGACCAGGAGGCAGCTTACAGCTCAGCCTTCAGCCAGGTGGGTGACTGGAGGACAACTGCCCAGAGCAGAGGCCAAGACAGAAGTGCTGTGTGCTACTGCCTTCTGTGTGGCAGCGTTGTACAGAGAAATAACTTCTTAACTAAAAATGGTAGAACTATTGGTAGAACTGTGTTTTAAGTGAATGAGGAAAGGCCCCTTTACTACATGTTGCAGCCAGATTAATCCAAATATGAACATACAGTGTTTTGTTAACATCATACTCTAGTAGATTGATGTTCTAACACAGTGGAGGTTTTCCTTTCCTTGTACAAGTTAATTTCAGTATAATTTTAAAAGTAGGTAGTACCATGTAGAAAGTCCCTGCCTATAATATAGAAGGGGAAATACTGAAGAGGAATGAACAACATTGTAACACTTCCCCCCCCCCCCCCCCCCCCCCGAGAAAATGTTGTTTAAAAGAGAAATTCATGGCAAAGCTTAGTTTATTTAATGACAGAAACCATAACTTTATACATCTAACACTAAATAAAAACAGCATCATGTACAGATCAAATTATATACAAGAGTTCATCACTATACTTTATAAATGGACAGGTCTCATGAACTTCATTAAAAAAATCAAATTAAATAATATCAACTGCATAGTTGCAGTCTGACATCAAAGAGGTTGCGGAAGCATAGTAATCATCTTAAATTAATAGCTTAGGATATCTAAGGAAAAACGTAAGGCAACCTCTGAAATACAGGAACAGCAAAGCTAACAATGATACTCCCTACTAACCTCATGCCCTTCTGAAAGATGAGGCACAGTATTCAGTGTTCAGCTTTGATATTCCTGGTTGAGTTCTGTTTATGAAACAAATTTATTTCCTTGTTTTTAAATGACAGGCTATTAAGTCAGTTGAAGTATTTCTACAGTGGCGAACAAGGCTCTGAAATTCATTTTCACTTGTTTCCTACCATGTATTGGGCAAATAAATAAATGCACCAAAGATTAAACTGAGGTGCTAATAATATTCTTCGTAAGTAACACGCTAAATATACAAATAATGTTCTAGCACTATTTACAGCTGTTTTCCCTTGCGATTTCATCACTCAATACATAATTACTTGTAAGATACAAATACTGGAATAGGTTTTAAAGGTTACCTAGCAGTCTATTAAACCTTTTTCCATCATAGTGGCAGTAAGAACAGTTAATTTACCTATGTGTTGTTTTTTTTGTTTTTTTTTTTTTAAGCAGGATGGCTATCTCAAGATTCTTGACCATACAGATATTCAAAAGTTACAGCTACCAGTTTGTGTTTTTTTTTCCTTCAAGTATTCATTTTAGCTTTACTCAGTGGGGTAACCAGAAAAAAAAACACAGTTGGAAAGGGCTGCAGGAAGTATAAATAATGACATGACTTCTGTGCAGGACAACATTCATATTTGAAAGAGTCATCCACAAGTTCAAATCTGAGGCAGGAACTCAAGCTACCTTAAAATTTCAACAACTCTTTATCTACATGTTTGCAAAATCTACAAAGAACAGTTCATTCTGTAGCTTAGTAGGCAGATATTCAAGTAGTTAAACATGATGGAAGGCAGATTCAAAGGAGGTGGTTACTTCATCATGGATTTTGCTTAAATTTTGCTTCGTGAATCAGTTTTAAGGGTTACAGCATTATATGCATACGATTTTAGTGACTGCAGCATTAACAGGCTTCTGGCTCCTTGGATACCCTGCTGCTGTCAAAGTTGGAAAGCATTTAATAGTGCTATAGAAACTGAAAATAGTTTAAAAGAACACAGTTCTGGTTCTTCCTGTGTCTAGCACGTTCCATGATCTCTTGAAAGACGCTTATTTAAAAAAAAAAAAAGCAATTTAAAAAAACAAGAACAATTAAAGAACCCACACCTTGACGCGTGCACTGTACATATTATTAAATCAGCTCGGTCAAGCATGGCTGTGATTCATGCTTACTAGCAGGAAAGCCTAGGAAGGATTTTTTCCATCGATGTGATACAACACTGAGTAATTAGCTTGCCTTAGAAGTATTTGTTAGAGCATCTGTAGTAAGGTCTTCTGGCAACTCTTGTAATTTTGAGACTAATTCTTACCTGATGCTAAGACTTTCATAGTTCTTTCCTTTGACGTGGCTATGTGTCCCATCTGGGAGTCATCAAAGCTCTTCTCGTCAACGATATAACACAAGATCAGTTCCTAACGAGTGGGACTTCAGCATACTTATATGCCCCTTCTCACAAAAACATGCCATTATACTCCTATCAATTGAATGTTTCTGCATCACATTTAATGTAAGAGTATAAGCATCCAGCATTAGGTTGCCTGCTTTGGATATGTATAATGCAAACCATAGGTTCCTCTACACAACTGACCACCATTAACCTAAATATAGCTGTGCACGCAGGATGAAGTGTAAGCTCCTCTCACAAATAAGCAGCAGTTTACTTAGAGAAGTTGTCTCCCCTCATTAGGATATCCTCTAGAGAACTTCAGTTCCTGATCTCAGGGTACCACATGCTCAGACTTCATTGGAACCCCTTCCCTCATTGTTTTGCTGAACCATGAACCTGCTCCCAATGATCTGGAATTTAAACAAGTTCTTCACAACTAGGATTCGCTAATTGCAGATGGTGCACCTGCCTAAAGACAAAAGCCTCAGATTTTGTCACATAAAGCACGCACTGCATGGAACACTGCACCATTGCCTTGTTTTAGGGAGTAAAGAGACGAAACCCTGTGATGGTCATTCACTCACAAACTTGATGAAATGCATGTAAAAATAAGTAAAAAATGCTACCAACTGTACATTTCTAGATTTTAGTGCAGCCACTTTATAGATACTTTAATTTACAGCATGGTACTCCATGACACAGGAAACAATATTATTCCAACTTTTTTTTTTAAATAGTTATGACCAGTGCAGATATCTTAGCCGTCAAAGCCTTGGACTACACTGAAGCATCCTAACTTTTGCCCTGTAATGCGTCGTGCAATATTTCGTAACCAAGAAATTCAGTACTGGAGATTAACAGTGCGGGTAGGTATCTGTAAGCCTCAGATACCCAGTTCATATTTAGCTGTCATGTATCGTAAGACCTCAGTCCCCTTGCTCTTTCTTATGTTCTGTATTCACTCTTTCTCTGCAACTTGGGCTACTTCTACCTCTACAGTTTCCATGGCCTGCGTGACTTCTGCCATTTTCTGTCCTTGCTGTTGTGCCAGTACATAATTTACCACTTGCATGATGCTTTGGTCAGAAAGAGTGGAGACTGATGTACATTCTTCAGTAGCTGCAACTGCTTCAATTGCTTCAAGTGTGTCTCCTGTCACTACTAGAGTCTCCACCTCCTCACCACCAACACTAATTTCAGTTTCTTGTTCCTGCACGTCTGCTGCTAAAATGCTGATGGCATGCTCCACCTGCGTCCCCTGGTTATGAAACTGAAGAGTATCTTTTTCCAACATAATTTTGCAGGGTACGTAGTCTCTGTGGAACTTGGTCATGTGCTTCCGCAGCGTCCGGGCATCTATGTAAGCCTCGTTGCAGACTGGGCAGACATACGGCCGTTCTCCAGTATGCGTCCTTACGTGACGCTTCAGGGAACGCGCATCAGCCCAGGCTACTCCACAAGTTAGACATTCAAATGGCTTCACACCTGTTTTCAAATGGAAAGCAAAGAAAAAAACGACCATCAGCATTTATAATTATGTATGCATGATGGTGAGAAATGACAGGGAGGACAGTAGTATAAAAGCACAAAGAAATGGTACAAGTAGTTCAAATTTTTCCAAACAAGAAAAAGATCTTACCATTTCTGTACTACAGTCTAACATAAGGATAATGCATTAAATGGTAAGATTATCATTTCCACAAGTGCTCTTGCAAACTAATGTCTTCTCATTACTTTTTTTAAACATTTCCTTTTCATGCAGATGCACTATCTTAAGTGCATAAAGCTTAATGTAAAATTAAGGCAGCACAGACAAAAACAATTTACTTCTGAAACCACGTTTTACCATGTCACTTACATTCCTAGTCACACCTCGTTTCTGTAAATCTTTCTATATACCTCTCAACAAATCAGCACCTATTCTAGTTAGTTGATAAGGCCATCTACAGCTTTTTTTTTTCTTCCTCCTCCACACTACATATGTTCAAATTCTGCACATGGTGTTCGTATAATCTTATTCTCCCTTATAAAGTGCAAACTCTGTGGCCTGCATTATCTAATGGAGCATGTGGGTGGTGACAAGCACTATTTTAACTGGCTTTTAACTGACTTTTTCTCCATAGCAGTCACTGTAAGTTTAGGCTAGGTATCCAGTATCCAGGACTCATTGTATTTAGAATGAATCTCTATTCCAGTAGTTAGAGATATAACAGCTTTTTAAAAGGAAATAAGCTTCAAAAAAATTTTTTTTTTTTTTTATTTTTCCCCTGAAGATGCGTCTCTGTATTATAGACTTCAAACACAGCTGGAATAACCAAATACTGAAGATCACACTTCACAGCTAAAGTAAAAAATGCATATACTTTTAAAATTATGAAGTGTTTTCGTAGTTTCCCCAAACATTATAAAGCTTACTACTAGTTATACATCAAGAAGTTAATCTCCAGTGGTCCTTTTTCTAAATTCAAGCCAATCACTCTCCAGTTTGAGGAATATTTTACTAGCCACATGCAACTTTCAAAGCACTACATGCAATTCTTTCTTTGCCAGATACATATTTTTTTTTTCCTATTGCTTCTGAAATAATTTTTCTATTACAGTTTGAGAAAGACAAATGGTACTGGGACTGTGTGACTACAGTTTTAGAAAGATGCCAGCAGCATCTCTAGGAATCACCAGAAGAATGTTAATTAATCAGGATAAGCATAAAACTAACTGGACAATCTGTAAGAACTCGTGTGTTCTGCATCACAGGACACACAGATTCCAAGATAACCGATAATAACCCTTTTCTCCACAATGCTTTTAAGGGTAGGAGAACGCCGTAACTATTTGCTTTCTACATACCTTCATGATTGTTCATGTGCCTCCTATATTCCCGGAGCTGCGTGAATTTTCTTCCACAATGCTCACAAACTCGTTCCAGATTTTGTTTTGCTCTTCCTTTTTTACCATGTGTGGCTTTCTTTACATGCCTTCTGTACAAGGCTTTCTCATAAAATTCTTTACCACATACATTACACCTAGAGCATGTAAAATGGGAGTTAAAACCATTATCCTATGCTTATCTTAAAGTTTTTAAAGTAAAAATGTACTTGAATTAATGTAGGTAAAATTTAATGGGTATATTGCTTCATGACAGCTATTTCCATAACTAAAAATGCCACTGGACTGTAAAAGCCACATTTTCTCTTATTAATAGCCACAGAACTTCCACTTACCATTCTAGAGAAGCAAGATTGCATACAAAGCTTAACTTTACTAATTATACTTATCCTCTTATGACTTCACATGCGTTAGTCCCAGGATTGTGCCAGCAGATTACCAGTTTGACCACACTATTTGAAGTCACCCATCCACATTCTCAAGAACTCAACGCCCCAGTCAAGGTCAATCAATCAGTACTTGAACCACAGACTAGGCAGTTCCTTGGTGACTAATCTAGGGCTGTGGCATTATAATTTCTTACATTTCAGTTATTTCCTCTTACCTATAAGGGTCTGTGACAGAGTGAGACTTTACATGAGAATACCAGTCTTTCTTCCAACTATAACATTTTCCACAAAACTGGCACTGAAATGGCTTCACACCTAAGTGTTTATTCATATGCTGCCGGAGATCTCGAGCTTCGTAGAAACTCTTTTCACACCTGTAACAGCAAAGGTTGTAGCATTCTGTATCAGCAAGATCTTGGTAATCCTGATTTCCAAGGCACAGAAATCTCCTTCTGTAACGGCAACTGAACACTTGGAGAAGACCTGTAGTGTCATCAATATTAATACAAAGCACAAACTCTTTCCAAACCAGGGGAAATTAAAAGGAAGAGCATCCTATCTGAAAATCTGGAATACCATTTGAGGACATTGTTCTGAAACATTTTTGTCTATTATGGATGATTATATTCCTTCTGTTTTTATTACGAGGATTAATCAAAGGCAGACTGGCTGAAAGACATCAAAAAGGTATATTAGATCTTAAGAATTACTATGAGGGTTCTAACAGTTGTTTCCTCCCTTACCAAAGAGGATTAAATAATAAAACAAAGATAACATATCTGGGTGTTTTTTTTTCTGTAATGCTGAAGTATATTTTTTTCAGAAGTTAAAAAACAAATTCAGGATTCTACAAGAATGTATCTAAGATTAGCCATGTTCATTCTTTAGTGTGAAGTTTGAATATGTCTGAAACTAAATTCCTAAAGTTTTTCTTCATTTATATCTTCCCATAGTGTGACTACATAAAATAACAAATTTCTCTTGGTGTAAAAACTATAGGAGTAGTCCAGCTAAAAACATGCTTTATCTTTGAAAGATATTTTGCCTTACAGACCTCTTCTTCTACCTAATCTTCTACATCTCTTCCTCATGTAAGATGACACACTGTATGACTTGAGAAAGGACAGAGTGCAGAGAAAGGCCAACAAGCAAAGTTATTCATGGACTTCCAAGTCCACTGTAGAGGATTTACATTTTGTAGCTCAACCACCTCTGGAAAGAGGGAATCTCTGAATTCTAACTAAGTGGAATCTGAAGAGAAGAAAGCTTCCATATGAGAACAAAACTTGTAATATCAGACTTCACAAAGATTGGGTACCCTGGAAAGGTAAGAAAAAAGCCTTCTATGCTTTAGAGAAATTAAGTAGGTTATAGTCCCTGAGTTGCCTGAACAATCTTCTCCTAGGCTAGGAAAAAAAACAACAAAACCACCAACAGCTCCATTTCAAATGGGATTCTCAGGGATTCTGGGTTCCACATCCCTAAGGGTCTTCACAGAGGTTGGTACTTGGTGTTCTCATGGACGGCGTATTTAGAAAATCCCTTAGAGAAGTATTAATTTCATAAGTAAAAAAAATGAACCATGACAACCACCCTCTGACACTCACACACTGCTGTGATTTAATCTAATATCTACTTCTACTTTTAGCAAAGTACCTTGTGTGAAGCTTTATTTAACTGGGCCAGAAGCTCAAACTCAAGCATGGCTGGACGATTTACATACCAAGCCAATGTAGTAGAAAAATGAAGCCTACTTGTAGCTTAGTGAAGCTCTCTAAACCACTTGTGACATGAATTATATTCCTAGAATAGATCTAAACTCTAGAAGAAACAAGGGTTGTGTCTGTTTTGAAGGAGTTGAGGAATCAAAATACATTTTCATTCAAAGTGATGTTGCATCCATGACTACTGCCTTGAATATCTATTTTTAATATAACTCTTTCAGAACCAAAATTGTCTTCCCTGTTATGTTTCATTAACTAGTTCTGTCCTGATGTGGATCCTGTTAGCTTTGTTCTTGGAATTTTTGAGATCTACATTTTTAGTACTACAAACCACTCAACAAAAACACTGCAGACAGAATTAAAATGAATTTTCAGCAGTTAGGAAATATTTGTACAGCTGTACTACCAGAGATATATTACAAATATTTTTGATACAGGTTTTTCATTAATACCACAAGCTACATACAGGCAATCATAAATAGTACAGCCCCATTAAATACCTGTCAGTTTTCCAAAGACCTAACTGAGAGTTTGGAAATTAAGTACCACTTGTGCTCCTACAGGTTAATTGAAAGGTTCTCCTATAGTCTGCTTGGTCATATGAAAAACATCATGATTTGTAAACACCCTATGAAACACATTTTTACTGACTTTCAAGTAGTCATATAAGTTTTATAATCAGGTTAAAAATAGCCGGTGAGCCTTAATCTGTATCTGTAATCTAGATACTCCTGCACAGCTGTTTGCCAAACATAGTGTATATTGCAGTGCACCCAAGTACATTACATCACAGACTTTAATAGGACATTTTCATACGCAACCAAAACTATCAGGGTAAAGGAAGACAAGAGCAGGCTGAAGACCCTTTGTCTCCGACAATCTTACCACTCTATCTGTCCTACAGGGGAGCTTTAAAACCACAGGGCTACTTACTACAGCTCCAAGTGCAAACATACTCATTAAAACATAACTATATGAAAGTAGGTAACAGTTAAAAATTCCAAGGTGTTGCTCTCCAATTCATATATTAACAGAAGTCTCATTATTTTTTTATAACACTAATGTTTTACAAATCTCATTGCAGGCCAATGAACTTTTGTTCTATAACCAGGATCTGCTTTTCATCTTGAAGCAAAATAAGGACAAAAACCACCCCAACAACAAACCAAAAGAACAAAACACCATAATAACTAACAACTTACTGAGTACACTGATATCCACGAACTTCAGGTTTTGGCTGGTGTTTCTTTATGTGTTTACTGAGTCCTGAAGCCCTGTGAAAAGACTTTCCACAGATGGAGCAAAGGTACTTGGATTCTCCTGACAAAAAAAACACAAGCAAACAAGTTACAAAGCCAGGCCTCCATCTCTCTGGGATGCTTTGTGAGTGTTTTTTCTTCCTATGTAATTTATCTGAAGTAAGCAGAGCAGTGCTACAAAAAGAAGTTGGTTTAATTACACACAGATGGAATTTTCAAGTGTATTTTTTATGCGCCTACGTAGTCATAGATAGAAGGGAGAGTAACAACTCTCAATGACTTCACTGCATGTTTCTAAACACAGGGTACAACAGTATAGCTGATTAGCCATGAAATGTGAACAGTTTAAAAAACTGACCTCATGTGAAAAACAGCTGCCTGTTTTCATACAATACGCAATTTCTCCAGCAATGCAGCATTGCCTGTGGGTGACTCACACCTTGAATTTGTGGAACACCACTTCAAAAGAGGAGCTTTCAGCTCCAATTCATTGCTTCATGAGTCTTGAGTACTAACATAAATTCCTCCACTTTTGGTACAGGCTCTTACTTCTGATTCCTCCCAACTCAGGAAACACAGACAACTTCTACATATTACAACATAGTTAAAAACTACTCGTCTTGGACAAAAGAAGCATCATCTTTTACATGCCAAGATCTTTCAAGATGCCAGTTTTTATAAAATTTCAGTATAAAACTTCTGAAATTAGAATACAAGTCCTGTATTTCTTAGTTAGAAGTACAGCGTTTGAACTGCTGTCCTACTGTAGAAGTTTTGAAGAAAAAGTTTTTATTCCTTTGAAATGAGAGCTCTCACAGAAAATAACTAGTTCATAGATCACACAAACAGTATCCCATGAGAAAGTACACAATCTTAAAGACCATATAACCTATTAAAATAGGAATAAATCCTGAAGCATTGCTCATGTTTAAAAATATCTTTCCCTCAAGTCATTTAAAATAGCTGTGCAACAAATAATACATTCTTGCTTTAGAAATGTTTTATTAGTACAAGCAGAAATCTTGAAACAACACCCGGAATTTGTCAGAGTTTCAATTTAGCAAGTTCTCCTCTGAAAGGACAGACTGAAAGTATAGTTGCTCAAAAATGTTCTAGACTCTTATCTTTGTTGAATTCACATAATACAGGCATAAAAAAGTAGGAACAGACTAACCACAACTCCCTGTTCTAGTATAGAATATTTGCATAATAATCTTAAGCTAAGATAAAACAAGCCCAAAGAAGAAATATAAATGAATAATTACATCTAAGTCAAGGCCAGGATGAAAAACTACTTTATTTTTAAATGGTTCCTTTGGCATTAAAGAACAATGTTAAAGTTCACCAGCACACAAAAGCCATCCAAAGCAATTCTCACTACTTACCAGTATGAATGCTCATATGTTCCTGAAGACTTCTTTTAGTGACAAAGGACTTCTCGCACAAGTCACACTGAAACTGTTTCTGTACTTCATGGAGAGCTAAGTGCATTTTTAATCCATGCTTATATGTAAAGGTCTTTCCACAAACCTAAAAAAAAATCCAGATCCAATCAAAGAGGACAAAAAAAAAAACACAGAATATTTCAACAGATCAGTTTTGAATACCTGTTAGCTCCAAACACAATATCAACTCCGTATTTCTTAGTAACAAGGATGACCAAGCCTATGATTCCTCACCAGTAGCAAAAATGGTCCGTTAAAAAAGAACACTCAAGCGAAGACATTTTCTAGACATAGGAATATTAAATTCCATGATTCAAGCTTCCAGTTGAATTCTAGATTACAGTCTCCAACTACAAGAAATTTCATCAGCAATGTTATGTTATTTTTTCCCATTGTGAAATGACGTGAATTAACCTAACTTGTAGGACAGAGGGTCAATACTAAAGTATCAAATACATTACTGACGTGATGACCAAGTAAAAGAACTTTCTCTTTACCTTGCATGCATGCGGTTTTACACCTGTATGTTTGAGCATATGTATCCTGAGAGAATAGAGCTTAGGTAGAGTTCTGCCACAGATATCGCATACAAATTCCCGTTTAGTTCTCCCTTTCACTGAAGACATGCCTGTCTCTTCTACACTAGAAGCTGCAGTGTTCACTTCAGTCTTCCGTGTGTGTCGGACAAGATGAGCTCGCAGGGAGGCACCATACTGGAATTCTTTTTTACACAACTAGGAAAGAACACACAACTTCAATCTGCATGCAGTATTTCAAAGGTATTTCAAAAAAGGTAAATCAAAGATTTTAAATGTAGTAATCTGATTGCATAGGTCTGTAATTTGACTCCGACAGACTTTTTTTCAGGTTAATTAATAGAATTAAGCATTGGCTTTTTAAGGCTACTGACAGAGCCGTTGTTCACTTCCCAGTAAGAAGTAACTCCCAGGATAATCTAAATACAACTGTAAATTCACCAGTAAGGTTAAAAGTAAAGCCCACCCAGTACCATGAACAGCACAAGCACTCTCATGCCACGCGATGCTGTCAGGCCATGTAGCTGCACTACATTTTACCCATTTAGATCAAGGCTCTGTCCGTCTCTGAAGTCTGTAAAGAAAATAAATGCAAAATACTAAAAGAGACAAGAAAAATAATTTTAATAGCAAGGTTTACAGACAAAAAAGACTTACTGGGCATTTATAATCTTTAGATCTTTCATGTTTTAGTGTGTGCATTATAAGTGCATAGCGCCGCTGGAACACCATTCCACACTCCGTGCATTTGTGCTGAGCTTCTACTTCATTATTTTCTGTGGTCTCTCTTTTGGGTTGTTTCATTTTTTTCCCTCTCTGTACCAGCTTCATGGCAACCTAAATTGGAAAAACATAACCAGTGAATGAACTTCTTTCAGAAGTACGAAACACAATGTAGCCAGTGATAAAAGCTTATGTTTCTTTATGTTACAGTAACATCACCCAATCTCCCTTAGTTTCTGTAGCCACTGGAAAGTTAAGCCTTTTTAGATCACTGAAAATCCAGAGAGATTATGGTAGGAAAAATGGTCTTCTTTCACAACCACAAGCTGACTGTAATTACAGATAGACAACTTACCACTTCAGATCCAACTAGCCCTCCCTGAGTAACTGGCTAAACACAAGCTAAGTGATAGTTAGAGAGGAACCACAAATACTTCCAGTCATAACTTCTATAAAATGTTTCTAACTAAGTCCTTCACTTCAGCTTTCCTTTTCAAGACTTACTTCAGAAGTTATCAAACTAGACATAAAAAGAGTGGCCTAATACATTATTACCAGCCAGCAAGAACAGAGTTATTAATAACGTGTAAAAAATTTGACACTATTTAAGCAAAGCTCTTTCCAGTTAAGGGCGTTCCAGCTTGAATGTTTGTGTGAGGTATTGGCAGTGCTACCTTGAGCTGGCAATCTCATTTTCCTTTGCAGAAACTTGCTGTCATGTTCTTTAAAATCCATAGCTTAAGTGATCAGGCTGAAATTTCTTGTATCAAGTATCTCCCCTTCAGGTTTCTGAGAATAAGGCAAGGGGAAAAAACAGTACATTGCATCCCCATTTCTTCTCCCCATTCCTCCAACAAGTGAAATATCTAGAAATTTTTGCAAACACACTAGCCTTTTCTTGTCTCACACAAATAAACTCAACACAGGGACAACATTTTCAGACTCTTTTATGTCTTGCTGTTGCTCTGAAAAGTTATGCAAACTTGGCCAAATTAGGAAGCCACAAAAATCATTTTGTCCAGTTGATGATTAATAAGAGCTTGGAAAATCACCCATTCATACAAAGCATGCTTTTATCCATGCCAACTGCAATTATGCTAATTCAAGTCAGCAGTATTTCCTTGCAATTTCTCTTTACTGTTATTCTTCCAGGATTAAAACTAGGAACTCAAGAAGGAGCGTCTATTTTCTAACACTTATACAACATCCAGTGTCATGGTGGGAGTTGAGGAAAGCATGAGACAAAAAGGTGAAAAATTAAGAGATCAGTTATGAAAGTAGAAACCTATTCCTAATTCCAATTCTAAGCAATTATCTAAAACTTTTTTATTCCACACGTGGATTCTGTCTGGAGACCTTCTCTATCAAGGGGAGAGGGTTTAAAAACTGTGAAGTTAACAGGACCTGCTCCTGAAAGAGCTCCCCCTCCCCAAACAGAGAAACAGAAATCACAAATATAGCTCAAATATTTGGACTGTGCTAGTTTTAACATCTGGTCTTCATAATGATCAGAGGTAAAAGGGAGACTAATGCTACAATTTCCATTTAAAAGGGTAACAATTTATATCTCTCAGTGCAGAGGGATGGATGTTACTTTGGTTTGCCGTAACATTGATTTCTCAAAAGAAGAAAACATTTAAAGCATTTGCCAGACAACGCTTGGAAATGGGAAACAGTCTTTTCAGACTGGTGTGGAAACAAAGGATGATTACCGCCAACAGGCTTAAACAGAGATAGAATACCTGCTGTATTGCAGATTTCGGATTTGTCTTTCTGTTTTGCAGCTTTTTTTCGATTCCTTTATGCAATCTGATATATCCACCTTCGCTAACAGAACGCTGGCGAAGTTTGCTTTTATAAGTATCATCCTGGCTGGAAGCCATGCTTTCTGGTTGTGAAGCCAAAACGCTCTCTTCTTTACTTTGCCTGCCATCATTTTCCTTGAGCATTTCCGAGGAGTCTTCCGGAGCCATCTCTACATTTGCTTGACAGCTTTCATTTAGCTCCATTTCCACTTGACCGTCTGTGTCCATGGCTTCCACAACTGATGGCTCAGCCTGTCTGACAACCACAGTGCTGTTTGAAACGTTCTCCACCAGCTCTATTTTGATAAAATTTTCAGTTGTTTCACACTGCTCCAAAGGCTTTGAAAGGCCATCAGGAGTGGCTTCTGCAGGCTGTGGGGGCAGGAGGTGGGGCTGGGGTGCTGCT